GGAGCTTGTTAAAAGTGCTTAAAAACACCCATGATCCTTTATTCAGGACCCAACCACAGACTCAACTGCTGACCAACACTGTATGTTGGATGACTATGGATGACTGTCCATAGATGCCAAAAACATCTATTTGTAACTGAAATCTTAATGGACGGTGAAATTGGCAGGTTTATTAGAAGTGAAGAGCTTTCTGTCAGATAAAAAGCTACTGAAAAAAACGCATTTAATGCAATAATTACTTAATTTTCTTCCTTAACGCCTTTTTTCACATTTTTAACACACTGTCTGCCCATCCAACTGTAATCTCCCAGGATCTCTGTGATGAATACACTCACTATTCTGAAAAGGATGAATATTTCACTAAAAATGCTTCCCTGCCACAAGATGGATTTTATCTAGCCTGCACTTTTTTTTTAAAAAAACTTAAACGACTACAGTAGCCAAAGTCTTGTTTTTTCTTCTATCTTTCTCGAATTGCAACAATTCATTGGCAAGGTAGGCAGGTTTGGTGTTCCCTGTCCCAGGTTATAGACTGGATATGCAGACTGGATAGCTGATCCTTGCCAGTGAAGAAAAATTAACACAGCTTGACCAACTACACTGAGAAAATGTTCGACCAACTGCAGTCTGAAAGCTACCACTACAGAGAGCATTATGCTACTGTAAACATTGTTTCACCAGATGCAGTTCCTATGCTATATCTACTTGTCTTTAGGTTAATACATTTTAACATTCGTAACCCCCCCCCCGCCCCCGAGATTCGTACAAGAATGACAGCATTATAGGCATACTTGATATTAAAGAGAGGGAGGTCGGGCATACATGCCTCAATACAAAGACTCTTCCAAGTAGGCTAGAAGACAGTTTCTTCCTTAAAACGCCTTTGAAAAAACTTAATGCAACAGCCTCCGTGAGACGTTCTCTATTCAAAAATGAATGATTCAGCAAAAAGAATCTTATTACCCTTAATATGATCCGAGAGCCACTACCCAAAAAGTCTTACTCTCTTCCTCCTTCAGTCATTTCTTTCTGCCCCATCCTTTTTGCTGTGTCTAGTAAACACGTGGTAAACCAGACCAGCAAGCTGATTACATAGAGAAATAACCTAACATTAAAAGAATTCTGTAGTATCAGAGCACCGATCCAATTTGTCACGTTGTCACTAAATCCAAAGGAAAAGGGAGGGCAAGGGAGCAGGGAACTTCCCCTTTTGACAGTAGTCTGAATTTTGCCAGATGAAACTAACACAGAACTGCATCCTAGCAAATTAGGGAGGGATACTCTGTGTTGGAAATACCATGCCTGATTTAGTCTCATAGCAGATGCAGGTTAAACACGATTGGAGGCTTTAACTCCTTAAGAATTGTTCTCTTAAGTCTAATGAATCCTTTTGCAGATTAGAAAACTGAGTTACCAAGTTCAATGGAAAAATTTATTCTTACATATCCATGCACTAAAAGTCACACCAAAGCCTTTGAGAAGCCCACAGATTTCCTCAGTACAGGTTCTCAGTGGGAGACCAGAACAGTAATGCTTCCATTAGTGCTCTTTTCCTTTTAAATAAACCCTATTTTTAAAAGGGCTTAGTAAATTTCAGGCTAGAGGAAACTCCAAGGATGAAACTCTGCATTCAGAGCTTCACCAGATTTTACTCCTGCAGGTAGGTTAAGTGACTGTTCTAAACTGGCTCTGCAATTACTTGACATTAAACAAATCAAAAATGCATTTTATGAGTTGACTAGTTAAAATACTCAATTATGGTGTGTATTTAAGTATTCCTAAAACATACAGGTATTTCAAGTATATTCTAAGTAGGAAAAATATAGGAATTTGGACATTTAGTATTCAGATGATCATATTTTAGGAGACACTATTTTATTTAATTGACTATGTTAACAGTGAATTTTGAACGAAAGTAAAAATTCAGCCTTTTATACTGGAGAAGTTATGCCAAAACAGTAAATAGCAATAACACTTCCCAGCTCAATTCCCTATTTAAAAAAAAGAACAAAACCTAAAACCTCATGGTTTAAATTTTGACAGAGGGTAGGCCTTAGCTTCCTTATCTGAAGGCATTTTATTCCAAATATTAGAAATTGGGAATCATTGGAAGTTGCACAAAAATAAAATTGTGCAATTCCCAATTATTTTAAAGATATTTTTAGAAAAATACTTGATTTTTACTAATTTTTGAAAACTAACTTTGCACTAAATATAGCCAAGTAGGTGCAGGGGCAGAGATTTATGCATTATGATGCCTAGATGTGCTAGAAAGGGTGATGCATGTGCACATTTGCAGCAGAGCGTTAAAGGCCACATGGTGAGTTTGGCAGTAGGAGCACTTCAAAGGAAAGCAGTAGAAACCACAGAAGAAGAATGCAACGCGTGACTACAGCCAAAACTGCTCTTATGCAACAGGAGATTTCTGTCTATGCAATTGCAAGGCCAACTTGAGAATATTTAAGCATCTACTTCCTAATAGGTTAAAAGATTCCTTTTGCATTTGAACCAACCCAAGTTTCCCCCTGAGCAGCAGTCATGAGCAGGGCTCACCACCACCCTAACTCCACGGCCCTAGGCCCATCTGGCACTCAGCCAGCCTCACCCCAGGCACCTCAGCGGTCTCGGTGAGGGAAGGCCCATACGGGCAG